GAGCCCCGATGAGAAAAAGGAGATGATAAATGTGTCTCCTCTAAGTGGTGGTACAAAAGCGGAAGTCTGCTCCAAGAACTAGAGATTTCCGGAGGCTGGTATAGGAACTTTAAACAGCGCCATGGTTCACGAAGCAAGGGGAGGAGATGGAAGTGGGAGGAGAGTAAGCAGAGAAGGCTGAAGGACAGACAGGTGGAAAGAACTACCCACCCTCAACACCCCAAACAGGGCTCATTCCAGCCTGTGGGGACCAACGCTTAGAGCACATGTGTCAAACACAAGGCCCGCGGGCCAAATCCATCCCGCCAGGCCTTGCAATGTGGCCTGCACCGCGCTGTCATCACTGCACTCCACTGCGTTTCCATCACAATGACAGTTTATGACTGTTCAGTAAACCATTCGGCCCGCGATTTAGGCTGGATTTTAGATTTTGGCCCCTTCTCTGATTGAGTTCGACACCCCTAGCTTAGAGAATCCTTTAGGAAAAGTAGTAGCATCTATCTAACATGTAAAATGGGGAGTGGGGGAGCATAAACAGCTGAAATAGCTGTCACCTGTGGCTTCTGGTCTCCCACACACTCTCACAGGCATGCCATTTAAGGGCCCCATCCCTCCAAGAGGCCATGATTACATATATTCATCTGTTCAGCAGATCCTGGGGGCCTACCCTGGGCCAGGCAATTAATAGATAAGGAAGCTGTGGAGGGAGTGGTGTCTCAGAGAGGTTGGGAGAAGTTCCCCAAGGTAACATAGCCAGTGACCGAACCGGAAGAGAACTCAGGTATTCGGGGTGAGGTGTGCTTTCCCAACAAACCGAATCCAGAGGAGAAGAGACCAGCGGTCTTCCTCTGAGGCCTGTGGAGGTAGTTCTGAGCCGGAGCCCCAAAGTCAGACTGCTGGGCTGTGAGCCCCGCTTAGCCCACCAACTTAGCTGGGTCAATGCTCCTGCAGTCCTCCACCTCAGTGCTTCAGGTGCCCACTGCAAAGTGAGGGTAAAGGTGCGGCCACCTCCTCAGGTTATGGCCAGGATTAAACGAGTTAACAACTACAGAAGGCTCAGAGCATGCCTGGCACATGGGAGGGCCAGGCAAACACCAGGTATAATCTATCACCTGTAAACATGCCAGGCTGTACTTTCCGCCCTGCAGAGCCAGTCTCTTACAGAAGGCGTAGGTTATAAATGCTGGCAAAGCTCAGAGGTCCTCCAGCCGGCCCCTAATGGGGGCGGGGGTGGGGGTTGGGGGAGGGAAGAGAGGGCAGTACCAGCCCAGCCCCAGGAGGGACTTCCCAAGGTCGTGCAGACCGGAGACCAGTCTTCCTGAGTCCTTGCTCCCCGATGCCCCGCCGACTGCCTGCTTTGAGACCCACGCATTTCATGATGCGAGGCCCTAGGAGAGAGGCAGTGTGTGTGACAGGCAGGGACAAATCCAGGAGGAGGAGAGCTAGGCGTCTTTCCTTCCCGCCTACCTTCCGGGAGGAGGCTAGCTTGCTGGAACCTCCCAAATGGAGAGTTAGGAGGAGCAGCAGTCCGCCTTGTGCCTCCTCCTGCCGATGCCACGCCTTCTCGTAGGGACTCAGCACATCTGGGCCCGCCACCCCATGCACCCCAAGCTGCCGCAAAGGAGGGTGCTGCGCCTTGCTGGGGATGAGATCACCGCCTGGAGGGAGCAGTCTTCCTGCGTGGCTGGGGCTTTGGCGCCACCTTGTGGCCATAGGCCTGCACTGTCTTTGCACAGGGACTGGTGCCTCAGAGGTCACACTGAATTTTACCCATACCTCTCCGCTATCTAGCGGGGACGCAAAGACTTAAGAGAAGACGAGTTTTCAGGAGCCAGAAGGTGCAGAATAAGTAGAAGGCACTTGATCAGGAAATCCTAGACTGGACTCTAGGGTGGGAGGCTGCATAAGCATGATTTCCAAATCAGGTTTCAGACTGGTGCTATCTGGGCTCCCAGCATCCCTTTGCTCATCAGCACTGGGGAGAGGAGCTCTGGTTTTGCCCTCTCACATCCTTATGTATTCCCATACATTCCCCTGGGTGCTCGCTCAGAGGAAATAGGAGGGGTTTTTCTTTGAGCCAGCATGTTCTGGCCCCTTGCCGTCCATTGCCCTGGCCAAGATGGGCAGAGGGGCTGGTGACTTGAGGGAAATGGGTGCTGGAGTGACAGGTCAGGTGCTGCTTTTGCCCTGGGAGGGCTGACCTAGGTGAATCTAAATGTGGGTGTTACGTGACCTGGAGCCTGCACACATAGGCTTGGCTGCCACATCATCATTTCTCCACCTTGGTCCGCTTTTTGAGGCTAGGAGAGGAGGAGCCTGTGGTCTGAGAGTACCCCTGAGAGAGTATAGATGTGCGGCCTGGTCCCTGTGGGAGTCTGTGGCCCATGGCATTGTGTGCTGCAGGTGCCCATGTAGGTAGAGCTGAGTGTTGGATCACAGAAACCACATCTGACCTGTGAGACCATGGGCACCAAGCCTCCGCGGGGCACATGGCTGCTCCGGGTGCTGGACTCGCAGCACTGCCTCAGCCCTCAGCCCTCAGCCAGCACCCTCTTGTCCCCCTGCCTCGTCCCCCCCAACTCTGCCTTCCCAAGCCACTCTCATATCTGCTCCATCTGACCCTTCCCTCCACCCCTGATTCAGTCTGACCTCCCCAGCTCCTTGTGACCTGTCTCTGTATCCTGCGCCACCCGGCCCAGGTTTGTCATTGCCATTGCCTCTTCCATTTGACCCTCTCCTTCAGGCCCCGCATGTTGGCACTGCTTTCCCACTTTCTCATTCCTCCCCCCATCTCTCTCTCTGTCTCTTTATGCCCCTTTCCGTCTCTCTTTTTGCCTCTGCTTCCCTCTCTGCCTCTCTCTCTGCCTCTCTCTCTCTCTCTCTCTCTCTCTCTCTCTCTCTCTCTCTCTCTCTCTCTCTCACCCTGGGCAGGCACAGTAACCTCCCTGCCCTTTTCTGAGCCTCTTCTCTGCTCCCTTGATTTTGGGAACGTAGCGACTGAAGCCGAGAGAGAAGCCATGGCTCATGAGAAGTGCCACCGCTAGTAAGTGACAGAACTTGGGACAGAACCAGAATCCGGTGCTTCATTCCACTTCCCAGCCTCAGTTTCCCTTTGTGTTAAATGATGATAACCAGCCTGCCCCACAAGACCTGGCAGGGACTCTGGATCCGATGGGCCCAGAAACCTGGGCCTGGTACGCCTGCCCTTCTCCCAGCCCCTCCCCGGGGTCCCCACTGCAGTCGTCCTCCCCGGTGCCTGCACCTCCTGCCTCCTTGCCTTTGGTTCCCTCTACACGCTCCTGGGAGTGTGTCTGTAGGGAAGGTGTCTGCCCCCGCTCCCCTGGGTGTGCCTGCAGAGATGCTGCGCCCGAAGGCTCCTAGGAGTCCAGAGAGACAGACCGCCCTTTGGGAGTGGGGTGGGTGTGCATTGCCTGCATGCTGGTGTTAGGCCACAGGCGACAGTGCGGAGGGCTGCTTTGTGTTCCGAAGCGCATCCTAGAGGAACCGGGGGCACCGGATTCTCATGGGGTCCGGTCCATGATTAGCTCTGGAGGGAGGCCCACTGTTTGGAAGTGGAGGAGCGTCACCTCACAGTTTTGAATTATTTTACAAACGTATGGCCGTGCGGCTTTGCCCAAGCATGGGCTTCAGTCACATGACGCAAGGTTCTTGGAAGCACCATCTCCCACCGCTCCCAGGGAAACACACAGCCCCTCGCGGCCGCCGGCGTTAGGATTCCTCGTGTTAGCTTGCTGCACACGTGGACAGACAGGCTCATGCGCTCCTTGGGAAGGTGGGATAGAGAATGAGGGTGAAGCTGGAGGGGCAGGCAGGGTCCCCTGAGCCAAGGGAGGAGGCGAGGGTTTGATTCCAAGCATGACAGGGGCTGACATGATTGCATTTACAATTCGCAAGGAGCACCCTGGCCTCTGTGTGAGGAGCGATGTTTCTGGGGCCAGAGTTGGTGCTAGGATACAGGGAGGACTTCACTTCGATGCAGGCAAGAGGGAGAGTGGGGAGGCGGGGGTGACCAGACCGGTGGGGGATGACGGGACAGAGAGAAGGGACAGCCCATGGCCCCAGGTGGGCACCTGACAATGCCAGGCGTCCACCATGCTCTCAGCCTCTACAATTCAGGCTCGGCCCTGTAGGAGGCCCAAGGCTTGCATTTCCTGGGATTGTCAGGGACGCATGGGTGGCTCCATCCGATTGGCTGTGGGCCCTGGTTTGTGGGGTTCGTGATCTTGATCCCGATTGGGCCACAAAACCATGCTTTCTGAACGTGCGTTTTCCTGGCCCAGCCTGAGACCACTAGTACCTTGGATCCTCCCGTGACTGTGGCCTGGAGACAGCTCCCGGAGATTCGGGTAGACGCGAGGCAGGGAGCTTCCTTACAGGACCCAGGATGTGCACCCACCATGCTCGTCTCCCTAACCATCCCCAAGGTCGACTCTCCCCGCGTGTTAAAGAAGGGCAGCAAGACGCAGAGTTGGAGTGATTAGTCCGAGGTCCCCTTAGCAGACAACCGCATTGGGGTTTGAACCTGCATCCTTTGCCCCGTGTCCTCTCTGACTGAGGGGTCAGTGCGTTGGTCTGCCGGCGTCCTGGGCACAGCCTCAGGGTCTCCCTGGTGTGGAGGGCACGCGAGCTTTGCTGTCCAACGGCCTGGGGCTGGCTCCGAGTTGCTCCACTCGCCGACTGTGGGTCCCTGGCGGCTCCCTGGCTGTGCTGTGTGGGGATTACAGCTGCCTGTGGCCTGTGCCTCGCCATGGTACTGAGTAGGACCATCACAAATACCACCCACAGCCTTAGCACCGTGTCTAGGTCCGTGTCCGTGGGCTCAGGAGACCCCCAGAGCCGGGCCAAGTGTCCGGAAAAACCTCAGAGCAAAGGCGAAACACCAGCATCGCTGGCTCTGGTTTTGGGGTGGGGGAGCAGCATGGCCCTTCCGGAGCCCCGCCCCCACCCACGCTCTCTGTTCTGTTCCCCTCTCCCGGCAGGTACATCCGCACCATGTACCTGGGGATCCAGAGCCAACGGCAGAAGGAACACCAGCGACGCTTCTACTGGGCTATGATGTATGAATATGCAGACGTCAACATGCTGCGCCTCCTGGAGACCTTCCTGGAGAGCGCCCCCCAACTGGTGCTACAGCTCTGCATAATGATCCAGAAGAACAGCGCCGAGACGCTGCCCTGTGAGTGTGCCCCCACACCCCCATCCCATCTGGGGATCCCCCCGTGGCCGTTTCCTATACACTCAGTGCCCTGTGGACTCTGGGGGTGTCGCCCATTCTGATCTCTGAGACCCTGGGATGCCCAGGCCCCAAGGGGAGGCTGACCGACCCACACTGAGTGTATGGGTGACACAGACCTTTCCACTGCCCACTGCCCACTGCCCACGCCACGTGGTCCTAATGAGTAGAGGAGCAGCAGAGCGAGGGCCCTGGTCTCGTTGGGCCGTTCCTTGGGTGCGGGCCTGAGCTGAGTGTCCCCACGTGTGCAGGATGGGGAGCTGCCCAGAGACGGCACGTGACAGAGACTGAGTCACTGCAGGTTTCAGACGCTGTGAAGCTGTGGCTCTTGCTTCAAATCAAAGCTCACATGAAAGCCCTGTGCATAAAGCAGGCTCAGGCCACTCTGTTCTAGTTAGATGGGGGCCAGGGCCCCACACACTCTGCCCCTGGCCTTCTCCCTATCCCGGCCCCTGTGGCCCCAGGGGGGTCTCCCAGGAGCCCCGGAAGCCCCCAGGGCTCAGCCTGGACAGTCCCAGTCTCTACAGCGGCAGGAAGTCCGAGGCCTGGGGAGGTTAGGCTTCCCCAGTCAAGGTGGAGTCTCGATGGTCAGACAGGCCTTGCTCTCACCCTCGTGGGCCCTGGTGACAGCATGAGGTGCCTGGGGCAGATGGCCTTTCTGCTCAGGAAGCCTCCACACCCACCGCCCTCAGCTCCCCAGGCCAGGGAGACATGCTCCAGGGGGCACATTTGCTGCGGGCTGGGGTGGGCCCCTTTCTTTCCCATCCCGGTTCTCCTTTGTCCAACCCTGTTTCGGTCTGAGACTCCCTCCTTTCCTCCTCTTTCCGATCCAAACTGCCCTTTGCTGTTCCAGTTTCAAATCTCCCTCCCCTACCCCACGGCCCAGGCAGCCAAGATGTCCTTCCAATGTTTGATCACATCCCAGCACCACAAATAGACAGGCGGCAGGGTGACGCCGGGTGAGCTCCCAACAGGGCCTTGGGCCCAGACCGGGGTCCTGGTTGCCACGTGCACCCTGTGGTGATGGGTGGAGATGGCCTTTCTGAGGCCTCCTTTCTGCTTCGGAATAAGGGGGACCCTCAGGGGACGCAGTGATGTGATGCCCGTGGGTCCCTTTGACACTGTCAGATTCCACAGGAACCTCAGGGCTGTGCTGGTCACATCCAGGCCTGACGGGAGCATCTGGGCAGGTCCTAGGGAGGCCCCCCTCCCCACCTGCGGGCCATCCCTCTGAGCACGTCCTTCCTGTGATAGTTCCTCAGACTATAAGCATGGGCTGCACCTGACGTCCCTGGAGGGGAAGCTCGAGGGGCAGCAGATGTTGCTTCCTCTTGACCTGGGAGCCCAGTGAGGCCAAGGCCAGGGAAGGCCAAGGGGCTGGTTGGGAGCGTTCCCCCGGCAGGGGCCAGGGCAAGGGGCTGGAATGGCAGGGTCGCCAGCTCCGGGGAAGCTCCCTGGCCCTTCCCCCCACGCGCTCCTGCAGCTCAGAGGTGGGGTGAGCATTAGCCCACGTTCGTTTTGTGTATGGGATAGGTATTTCCCGAAATAGGCTTTCGTGGTTCAATACATTTGGGAACTGCTGGCTAAACAAAGGTCAGCGGCAGACGTTGCTGTTGGTTGTGAATCTCCAAACAGGGATGGGGTCTGTGGTGTAAGCAGGGTTGATAGGAAGAAAGGAGCCTGCACGGACAGCGAGGGGCTTGGCATTTTGCTGGCCCATAACTCCTAGCTCTCTGTCACCACCGCACCTTTTCGTTATGATAAGATGTGCCTTCCCTCTCTCTCCCCATGAGAGGCTGCATGGCACATGCGTGCTTTAAAGAAAATCAGTTCAAGCATTAGAAACTGGAGGAGGGGAGAGGACATTGTGAACTTGGGAGGGACCCAATGGTGACTCGGAAGGAATCTACCAGCCCAGACTCCCGGGAGCTCGGCACACGGCGCACCGGACAGGCAGCCAGCGCCCGCCCCCCTGCCTGATCATGGGGGGCTCTGGGGAGGGACGGCCTTTCTGTGCCTTAGCATGGTCGGTTCTGAAATGAGGGTGATGTTAGCCCCTGCACAGAGGGCTGTCGTGAGCACTGAATGACATGACAAATGTCAGAGCCTGGTGCGACATCCGGCTGTTGTGCCGTTGGTGGCGGCAGAGCCTAGACCGTAGATACCGTGTGGACTGGTCTGCAGGCTTTCCCAGGGGGACCCCTGTGGACCAGCCTTGCTTTGGCTGGCTTTTGGGGACACCCACCACCTTGTGCCGCTCATGCTAGCAGACGGTGAGGAAGATCACTAACCATCAGTGATCAGTCACCTTAGCTGTGGGTTTTCCTTTGATCTTGTCCAATGCCAGCCTCTCCGACGTTTGCCATCTCTCCACCTTCTAGTCTTCAGTCATCGCTGGGTTCACAGTGCAGTAGTCAAGCCTGCAACGTGGATTTGTGTCCAGTTTTCCCATAAATTAGACTCAAGTGAAAAATGTAATAATAATGATAATGACAATGACCCATACACATATTATGCTAGAGTCATTTGGGCATGTCAGCGAGGTCTTCCGGAAGTCTGATGTCTTGGACTAAACATAAAACATACGATGCACCATGTACACTAGTATGAGTCTCGTGTCTGCTGGCAGCTCTGTTCTGGGCTAGAACCAGGCTTGGAAGACAGTCCGGAACCGTGGGCAGTCAGGCGGAGGTGCAGACGAAGTCCATCTTGGCCATTTACCGACGTAGGATATGGGGCAAGTTAACCTCCCAACTGGGTGCCTTCATGCGTGAAGGGGGCATAGTAACCAAGTTGTGAAGCATCATGGAGGCCTCATGAACTGCACCTTTGCTCTCCAGGACCTTGCCTGGCATATTATGGGTAATTTATACAATCCGTCATTCGACAAAGATGCATTCCTAGTAAAGTAGGCGCCCTCACCGTGCTGTGGGCAACACAGAGCATGGCAGACGTGGCCCATGCTTTCATGCATCCCCCAGCTCAGGGGAGACAGAACAAAAACCGTGAGACAGAGGACATTTTTGGAGCAAGCAAAAATGATGCTGAGACTGAAGGACACAGGGCGGGGCTCAGGGAAAGCCTCTCCAGACAGCTGGCATCTGGGCTGTGTGTCCATGAGAAGGAGCCAGCTCTAGGAAGAGAAGAAGAAGCAGCCTTCCAGGCAAAGGGAACAGCACGCACAAAGGTCCTGGGGTAGAACAGGCCTGGCTTGGTCTAAAAAGTGTACGGACCCAGCGTGGCTGGAGGTGGGCAGCGGGGAGGGGCTAGGGGGGAAAGAGGCAGGGGTGGACAGAGAGACAGGCAGGAGCCTGGCCAGTCTGGGCAGGCTGGGCCCCACAAGGAGCTTGGGTGTAAATCAAGTGCAATGGGAAGGCTTACAAAGGAAAGCTATACAATCAATTTGTTTTTAAAGAAGATTCCCTTTCCTGCTATGCAGGGGGCAGAGCCGGAGCTGAGCCAGGAGGACCAGCTTAGCAGCTGCTGGGGGGGGTGGGGTCCAGCCATGAGAGGATGGGGCTGAGCGTTTCTGGGAAATGATGCTGAACGTGCAGATCTGATTGGTGCTCTGAAGAGTGAGTCGACAAGACGTAGCAGGGCTGGTGTCGACAGTGAGAGAAGTGTGCTCGCAGGGGTTCTCACTGTGTTGAGATGGAGGAGGGAGAATCGCAGGAGCACGAATCCAGGGTTAATAGCTTGTCACCTTTTCTTACTTTTGGGTTTTTTGATGCTTATACGTGAACATTAGGGGTGGGTGGGGGCACTTACTGCACCTACGCACCTACATGGCACCTGATTCCGCCTTTTCGTGGTTAAGCCCACACTGAGTTGACCTACTTATGGGCTCTGATGACCACCTTCCCCGGGCATCACAGTACCACCACTTGTCTGGCACCTGCCAGGGTCCTGATGCATTGGGAATGGGTTTGCAAAGACACATCCCCTAAGGGAGTTTATGGTTTAATGCAGCACATTTTAAATTTTTAAAAAAATATATTTTATTGATTTTTTTTTTTTTTACACAGAGGAAGGGAGAGGGATAGAGAGTTAGAAATATCAATGAGAGAGAAACATCGACCAGCTGCCTCCTGCACGCCCCCCACTGGAGATGTGCCTGTAACCAAGGTGCATGCCCTTGACTGGAATCGAACCTGGGACCCCTCAGTCTGCAGGCCGATGCTCTATCCACTGAGCCAAACTGGTTTTGACAATTTTAAATTGTTTGATGACTGTATGTACAGAGGAGTGAGTTCCTGGGGGTGTGATGGAGGAGGTAACATGTGGTCTGGGTTTTGATGGGTGAATGGGAGCTCTTCTGAAAGAGAAGGTTGAGGGGCTCTCCTGGCAGTGGGACCACAAGTGCTAAGGGACAGTGGGCAGGGATTGGGTGGCTCTAGGTGCCAGAGCATAGGGTGTATGGCCCTGAGTGTGGATATAGTGGTGGTGGTGATGATGATGATGATACCAGTAACGTCAGTTAAGACTGTGTACTAGAGACCAGTTTAAGAAGTTGTCATGGATTAACCCATTAAAGTCCCATAGCAACCCTATGAGTAGATGCTCTAATTATTCCCATTTTATAGGTGATGAAACTGAGGTCCAGAGAGATTAAGAGACAGCCACAGCTTATCATTGACAAGGCTGAATCTTGACCTAGGCAGCCAACTCCAATGCCTGTGTCTTTAGCCAGGGTGGCTGTGGCTGAGTCTCAAAGAGACAGGCATGTGTGGATTCTGCAGGAATGGGTCACTGATGCGGGGAGGAAGCAGAAGTTGGCATGCGTTACGGATCTGTCATCTCCGGTGTACACATGTGTGTGCATGTGCATGTGTGTGCATGTGTATGTGTACCCCCGAGACAATCATACTGGTTAGTACAGCAGACGGTGCTTCTGGAAGCTGCCCAGGGCTTGGCTTTTTGCAAATGTTCTGTCTTGGGAGCAT